TAACATGACGCAGTATGTGGCGTAGTTGTTACACAAAATATTAAGATAAAAATAGAAAATGATGTCATTGTCACGTGTCTGCCGCAGTAAGTTGGTTCCGATTGATCGACATGCTCGGGACTTCCCCAGTCCTTATTTACAATCTCACAATATAAATTACTAGTGGAGGGTGTAAAGTAAATGACAAAAATTTTATTAATACCAATCAAGAATATGTATGAATTAAAGCTTTTAAAATGATTTTTGCTCAAAAGAATAAATAATATTAGCAACCTCCAAGGAATTCCACACAAATAAAATGCATGATCATGTGTCATATGTACATTAGTTAAAAATAATTTCATTGCGCAACCCCATTGATGTCACACAACATAATTATCAATCTGATCAATTATGCAGATAGAATATCAATTTACATTATTAGAAAGACAAAGATCTTTGTAGAATATATTAGCCAGAGGCTGGCAAATGCTTAATTTCCCATTCTTCGCTTATAAATGTAATTAATTATTACCTTCGTTGGAGGATTCTCTCTGAGATAATTACTAATTGCAGAAATAAAATCTGTTTCATCTGATATATGACTCAAAGAGTGGTCTCTAAAGGACCTGGTTATGGCTATCTCATTTCGTCCACTGGTAAAGATTGGAATATGTAGAGGTGGATCAGAATTGGATCATTCATTACCTGAAAAATCAGGATGTTCAATTAAATTTTAGGATTAAGTTTTTTCATTACTTCTTCAGTAATCCCTTTACATCCTTTCAAACTAAGATATTTCAAATTAGTACAGTTGTAGGCTATCTCCTCAACAGCTTTATTATCAATCGAACAATCACCAAGTTCAATATGTCTAAGTTTTGGGCATGAGCGAGCAATCTCAGTGATACATCAATTAGTGAAACATATACATGAATTAAGACTCAGATGCTGTAGTTTCGGAGAAAATCTTGCAATTTCTATAATTGGTATATTACTGAAACCCTTACTTTTATCAAGAATAAGAAAGCGTATATCCAGACATGAATGCAGAATTGTACTTATTAAAGCATCCAAGATTTTTAAACCTTCCAATCTGAGATACACCATCTTTGAACAATAGAGTGGCTTTATTTTTCCACGCATAACCCTTTTAAAGTTTATAAACCTCCAAGTAAGAACCCGAGACATGTTTAGGGCACGCCGGCTCTGCTGATAATCTTCATTGAAATACTCAATGTGATGCCATAGAATAGGAGCACCCCAGTGATACCAAAGGTGGTTGAAGAATAAAGCGGGATAGAGGGATCAATTGATTTCTAAAAAATATAAGATCTGTTCTAGTAATTCTGGTAAATCAAAAATATTTAGTTGCACCATTCTCAAGTAATGTATTATTATATATCTTTAATCAAAAAAAAACAACTAATGTTTGGATAATTAATTAGGCACACTTTAAATTAGTATTAATAAAATAATTTAACATTGGATCATAGTAATGAATATAGCAATATTTATAATTTTAATAGTTCAGTGCCCTGTCCTATATGCAATAAAGACCATGAAAAAGATAATATAACGAATAATATAAATGGACAATGGGGTAGTGGTGATTATGTCAATACAGAAACATATCGTCTCAAATGTTGGGGGGCTTGTCAGAATTCAATCCAAATAGTAACTGTGAAAGTTTAGAATGACTTGGTATGGATATGATGCAAAGCATGATTTCTCGGTAAAAAATCAAACATTTATCCAGTATACACTCCCCTAAAAAAAGTATCGACTCACTTGATGATCCGCGAAAATAATCGGGTAAATGGGTAATACATATACTCATTTTTTTACTAAGCAAATCGATGTTGTGTATTAGTGTGAAAATGTTTAACGAAATGATTCCTATAACATTCTAAAATACCACATTGAACCGATTATTATTGATAATTTTATGATGTTTAAAAGTCAAATTAAAATTTTTTGAAAAAGTTGCACTTAGAGAGCTATTTTAAGATACAATGTTTTAATGCATCTTGGGAACTTAGAAAATGTTGTTCCATTTGTTTTCAAATATATAAATATGAATGTTCATAATTATTGGCAGA